AACGAACTAGAAGAATCATCAAAAATTGCTAATTTGTTGATTCGGATCAGTTTGGGTTCTTCCAAACTGGAGAACCTGAACTTTCCTGAACCATCAATATTTTGGAGATTTACTGGTTCATTGCTCTCCCGCCCCCAAAAAAAGCCTGCCCCTGTTCCTTTCCACCTGCCTTTCCCACTTCCCTCTGCCCCTGTCACCTCCCTACATTTTCCTGCTGCTTCCTCCCCTTTCTCTGCTGCTGCCATCATCATGAGAGCCCCGCTGCCAGCCAGTGGCCTTTGCACATGTCCTCACCTCTCAGCTCAGAGGTGGGGACATGTGCAGATGGCCCTCATCCAGCTGACATGCCAGCTAACTAATTTTAAATATATATTATTATTATCAGTAGTAGTAGTATTCAAAAACACCAGGCACAGTCAATCAAAATAATAGAAATGTTGACCAGTATTCTTGTATAACAGATACAAGTTTTATCCAAAAATCTAAGTATCTGTTAAATATTGGTGCATTATGTATGCTGCTCCTAATACAGTGGACCCTTGACTTACAGACGGCTTGACTTACAGACTTTTTGAGTTACAGACTTCTCTGGCCGCAAAATTTAGGTTTGACTTGCAGACTGAGATTTGACTTACAGACCAGAAAAAAACCAAAATGGAACCAAAACGGCCTGTTACGGGATTAATCGGTTTTCAATGCACTGTAGGTCAATGGAGACTTGACTTACAGCCTTTTTGACTTGAGACCTGCCTTCCAATACGGATTAAGTTCTCAAGTCAAGACCCCACTGTATTGTTGTTTTTTGTAGCTCTGATGGTGTGATTTCTGAGAACTGCAACTGCTTATAGTACTGTGTGAAATTTCTTGATATTGTTCCCAAAGCCCCAATGACTATGGGGACCACTGAAGTATGTTTCATCCACAAGCAAAATGTTTCAGTGGCCAGGTCTCTGTACTACGTTAATTTTTCCAATTCTTTATTTTCAGCTGTATTGTTGTTTTTTGTAGCTCTGATGGTGTGATTTCTGAGAACTGCAACTGCTTATAGTACTGTGTGAAATTTCTTGATATTGTTCCCAAAGCCCCAATGACTATGGGGACCACTGAAGTATGTTTCATCCACAAGCAAAATGTTTCAGTGGCCAGGTCTCTGTACTACGTTAATTTTTCCAATTCTTTATTTTCAGCTCTAGCATTCCCCAGAATTGCAATGTCAATGATCCAGACATTTCTTTGTTCTATTGCTAATGTGTCTGGTGAGTTATGTTCAAGGTGTCTGTCCGTTTGGATCCGGAAATCCCACAAGATCTGGCACCTTCTCTACCTGATGTTCCCACGGTTTTTGGAGGCTGGCAAGTTATATTTTTTGCATAATGACCAGTGCACTAATTTTGCCACTCTATCATGTCTAACTTTGTTATCTGTTTGTGCAGCCTTCGGACATTCACAGATGAGGTGTGACACAGTTTCATCTTTTTCTTGGCAAAGTCTACATTTGCTGTTAGCACTACTTCCTTGGATGATGATGATAATGATGATGATACAAAGAAACCAGGCAATACTGTGCGAAATTTCTTGATATTTTCCCCAAAGCCCCAATGAATATGGAGACCACTGAAGTATGTTTCATCAACAAGTAAGATGTTTCATTGGCCAGGTCTCTGTACTTTGTTAGTTTTTCCAATTCTTTATTTTCACCTCTGGCACCCCATAGATTTGCAATGTCAGTGATCCAGACATTTCTTTGTTCTGTCTCTATGTCTGGGTGTCTATTGTTGTTGTTGTTGTTGTTGTTGTTGTTGTTGTTGTTGTTGTTGTTGTTGTTGTTGTTGTTGTTGTTGTTGTTGTTGTTGTTGTTGTTGTTACTTTTTTAGTTAGCTGGCCTGTCAGCCAGCAGGGGGCCTTTGTGCATGTCCCTGCTTCTCAGCTAAGAGGTGGGGAGATGCACAGAGACCAGTTGGCCTGCCGAGCAGGGGCCTCTGAAGATGGCAGCAGTTGTGGTGGTGGTTGTGGTGGAGGAGGAGGCAGTGGCAGGAAAAGGTAGGGAAGCAGGCTGTGTGGATGGGGGCCAGCCAAGGTTTATTTTTCAGACAGCTACTGTCTTTTTTTTTTAAATCCTGAATGAACCAACAACCCAATTTATGGTTCATTGGGGGGGAAATTCTTAAATCCATGGTTTATTGCTCATGGACTTCCATGAACCACCAACCAAGACAAACCACCATTTCAGTGCTTTGTGCCCATCGCTGTTCCCAACCTCTGGCTCACCTCACTCACTGACATACCCAGCCAGCTGCAGAACAAGTATACTGGGTGTCAGTTTTATTGGACCAGAGGCACTGAATGGTGGCAGGGAAGTCTGTAGTGCTTCCTTCCCCAAATCCCCTTACCCTGATCTACATCTCCCCAAGGATGAGCCCACAGGGGAAAATAAAGGCACAGCTGACCATGGGACACTTCAGGAATGTCTCACTTATGGTTGGGACACAAAGCTTCTCATGTCAGTGCAAGAAATGTCACTTCTAGCACCAAAGTGAGGCACCAGGTGCTCACCCTCCAAACTGTGTTTTGCGCAGTGTCTCGAGTGTCTTTTCCTTTGTAAAGCTGAAAAGGCACATAGACAACAAGCACAAAAGGGAAGATTAACTGCTCAGGAAGAAACGAAACAACCCACGTAGTGCTTTAAAGAGTTCCTGGAAAAAAGGCAACCGTTCTTGTATTTTAAATGCACAGAAATGTGCACAATTGATCTTGGCAAGTCCCCAAATTCTCTCTGTAACAAGCAGCAATGGAAACTTTTACAAGCTTTTTCATTTAGCACAAAAGGACATACTAGGTCGTGGTTTATATAAGGGGGTGCTGATAAATATCAAGTCTTTCCCAGAAATAATTTAGCTAAGAAGCTATAAATTGCAGGGTGTATTGGCCAATTTGTCTGTATTCAATGGTGCAAAACTCAACTACCTATGATTTTAACTTATCTTTCATGTTCAGGTCCAAAGTGAACATGGCAGCACCTCCAGAAAAATTCAATGGGAAAGAGCATAGGACCATAATCAACTCCCTGTTTCTCCAAGGGAAAGGTGCAAAGCAGATCCATGATGAAATGTCACTAACTATGGGTGACAGTGGCCCTTCATATGTAACAGTTAAACACAGTAGTCTATTGACTAGATGGGCGGGATAGAAATTAAGTAATTAGTTAGTTAGTTAGTTAGTTAGTTAGTTAGTTAGTTAGTTAGTTAGTTAGTTAGTTAGTTAGTTAGTTAGTTAGTTAGTTAGTTAGTTAGTTAGTTAGTTAGTTAGTTAGTTAGTTAGTTAGTTAGTTAGTTAGTTAGTTAGTTAGTTAGTTAGTTAGTTAGTTAGTTAGTTAGTTAGTTAGTTAGTTAGTTAGTTAGTTAGTTAGTTAGTTAGTTAGTTAGTTAGTTAGTTAGTTAGTTAGTTAGTTAGTTAGTTAGTTAGTTAGTTAGTTAGTTAGTTAGTTAGTTAGTTAGTTAGTTAAACAAACAAACAAACAAACAAACAAACAAATAAACGTTGGGTTATAAATTCTAAAACTGACCATTTTGGTGTTGAAAGTGAGAAACCCAGTGGAAGGCCTATTTCTATCTCTGTGCCGCAAATGTGAAAGCCATCCATGACATGATCATGGAGGACCACCGAATATCAGCCAAAAGTATTTTTATATATCTGAGAATATCACGTGAGAGAGTTGGTGCCATTATCCACAACGACTTGGAAATGAGAAAGCTGGCAGCAAAGTGGATCCCCAAACTTTTGACAACTGAACAAAAGGTCGGTTGAGAAGCAAATAGCAACAGTTTTTTGGGATAAGAAGGGAGTTCTGCTGGTGGACTACCTCCAACAGGGTTCAACCATCAATGTAAAATATTACTGTGCTTTATTGATGAAGTTGAGGCAAAACATCAAGGAAAAACATTGAGGAAAGCTCTCCAATGGTGTCATCCTGTTTGTTTCATGACAACACCTCATCACACACTGCAGGTGAAACAGTGGCAAAACTGATGTCCTTAGGCTTTCAAGTGATCCCAAAATCAAACCATTCCCCCGACCTGGCTGCTTCTGACTATTATCTGTTCCCCAAAATCAAAAAACACCTAAAGGGACAACGATTTGGGAGTGTTCTGGAGGCAACTAATGCTGCAAATGAGTGGTTACACCAGCAATTGGATGAATTTTATTTGCAGGGACTTAAGAAACGGCAGGACAGATGTCACAAGTGCACTGACTTCCTGGGGGAATATGTAGAATAGTCTGGCAGTTACAGCTTCCAAGCTCAATTTTTTCTGGGAAAGGCTCAGTAATTATCAGCACCTCCTCGTATCCCTGTAGGCTAACAGCAGCTTTGGGGCAATAAGTGAAATGAGGGACACTAATTTAGGAAAGCCCCACCCCTTATACTAATGCCACTACTCTGATAAAAGCAGGCTTCCCTATAATCCTGTTAGCATATGCACACATGCATGTGCACATTCATATGCTTTAAAATACAGAGCTCTGATTAAAGTCTGCCAGTATTTAGCCCACCACCTCATCTACATCTTACACTTGAAAAGGCAAAAACTGTTCAATTTAAGTCAGAGGACATGCAATATAGGTCAGAAATTATGTAGGAGGAGACATGAACAACTGGAAGAGTAATCACTAGTTCAGGACACATTTCTGCAGCCATAGGTTACAATCAAGTCCTAGGTCCATCTGTTGTCTGCCAGACTTGAGAGTCTCCCACATATGAGAGCACTTGTAATGTAAGGAGGTAAGTGCCACCTTGCAGCTTGCTGAACATGTATCTCTCCTAGCTGCCTTTGAAGCTGTATGTGCCTGAATTACCAACCATTTCTCTAGATTGGGAGAGAGGCCAAAACCAACTCTGTGGTTATAAAAAGTACTGCTTGTTCAAGGGAGTGAGGGAAGCCTTGAAAACCAAATATTTCTCTCTGCCCAGGCAATGTATTTCTGATAACCGCTGTTGGACTAGAACTGTAATTTCCCTGATTTATATATAGAAGGAGGTGAATATGTTCCTCAGCCACACGCTGTATAAAAGGGGCAAGCTTGTCTGGCTCCCTCACAGGCTGCCACAACTGGGAAAGGGTGTATTTCCCTCCAGCTGGAACTATGGACACATCATACCCTCGTGAAGACTACCTGCCCATGACGTCCCACAAGCAAGAACCATCTCCAACGGTCATCACCATGAGGCCTCCGATGGTCCCACGTGACTACATGACTTGGTCCATCTTCAACACCATCTACATGAACCTCTGCTGTCTTGGCTTTGTAGCTCTTGCCTTCTCGGTCAAGGTAGGAAGATCCTGGACAGTCTTTCTCCCTTTGACACATTTTGTATACCTATGCAGTTCTGCACTGGAGCCCCATTTTGCCCGAGAGGCCCTCCAGGGCTTTATTGTAGAGAGGAAGTCCCAAAAACTAATCAGCAGCAACATAAACTAATCAGATATATTAGTGGTAAGAGGGAAACTGTTCTAGTTTATCTAGGTATAGTACACAGACCTAGATGCTGTGATTAAGAGCCTTGTGAAACTCAAAACATTGCATACGGTTTTGATTTCTTTCTGTAGCTTCTTGCCAATGAACTAAATTTAAAAGTTTCATTCTTGGCTTTCCCCAAGCAGTTGTGGCACACATTATCAGCAGGTCTCCTTGAAATAATTCCTTCTTCTTCCTTAATCTCCAAAAATATAATGACCATAATAATCAGGAAATAATTAAACAGAGGCTCAGTCACCAAGGATTCAAAGGGCTACCATGAACTAATTGAAGCTTGCTGAAATGAGTGTTGATTCGGGGAAAGTTGTGGGTTTCTCCCCTCTGAGACTTTCACAACAAAATGTGCAGATGACAGAGAGAGATTTGTACAGAGCCCAGAAAACGAATTCCTGGAGTCATTGGATGGCTGCCAAATCTTATAAAGAGAACCTACTGCCCCCTAAGTTAGTGCAACTCACTTCAAAGAATTTACTTTCATTCAATTGGGATAAAATGTCTTTGACTAGTATCTGCTGAACTCTAAACAATCATTGGATCTTTCCAAGGTATCAGAATGTCATTAGACAGCTGAATTATCCTGGCTGGGATTGGTCTTCATGATGCTAACCAGAGTCACATTGATGTGTCGTATATCATGTGGGGCTATCTTTGCATCCAAACACATGGACTGATCACACTGCACCTCAAGCAATCTTTTTTAGCATGTTGGAGACTGATCTTCAGGAAAGGAAGCTTCCCATTTCTTTAGATCATTAAGCAGCTGGCTGGCTGTCCCTTTAGTGAAGCTACTTGATGATGAGAAATTGAAAGCTTCCTTTCTGCTCATTTTTAGAAGAGATGGGAGATGAAAAAGCTGTGAGACCTTCAGGGAATGAGCAGCACTGATCCCTCTTTGCAGCTCACTGCTAGGGTTCATTTTTGGCCAGCTGGCCCTCAGCCATGGAATTTGGAGATTAGGCAGGGGTTGGGGAAGACTCAGCACCTACATTTTTATCGGTGCCCAATTTTTCCCACTCCCTGTCTTTCGGTTATGTAAAGTCATACACACAGAACATGTAGGTTCATTTTAAGGGCTTGTCTGGATGGATTGAAGCTCCAGTAAATATATCTGATTCGGCATGAATTGTTTCAGTATTTTTTCCCCCCATTGAACGGATGATGCAAGGCCTGATCCAATATGCTGAATACTTTACTTCATCCCATTTGCTGGTTTCAGAGAATAGTTTTTTTAAAAAATTAATTTTTGGCACCAGGCTTTGTTTGTAGGAGGGGACTTTAGTATGGCAGTACTTCCTAATGCTGCAAATGAGTGGGGGGTTCATTTCTGTGCCAGAAGCTCCCAATTGAAAGCCTTTAGTCTTAGAAACAGATCTGAGAAACTGGTCATTCTTCAGAAATTAAACTCTCTGGTTGCTGATTTGTGAAACATACTGTGTGACTGGCCTCCAACATTGCTTGAAAATGGAAATAGCAGCATGTAAGCAAACAAAAAGAACCTATCTAGGAAGGGTTGAAAAGGAATTTCTGAGAAGTTCAGAGAGTGCCTGTGTGGGAGGCATAAGCAGACATGAGGTAATTTATTTACAAGGCCTCATTTGTTTTTTAAAAAACTAGCCCTTCAAGCTCTTGAAGCCTGAGGAGGTCGACAAGGCACCTGTGCACTGCAAAGCCACCACCTCCTATCTAGATCCTTGCTCATTGTCGCTCTTGAAATCAGGAAAGGAAATGACTATGGAATGGACTACCCATATCATTCATGCATCCCTACAGGAGGGTCATTTACCTTCCTTCCCAATGGAAACCATTATAAGGCCCATTCCAAAGATGTTTAATTTAGTAATGGATTATCTTAACAACTATAGACAAGTTGATTGACAAGGTGGTGGCTGACCAGCTGTAAGCATTCTTGGAGGAACAGGATAGCCGAGACCCATTTCACTTGGGGTTTATGCTATGCCATGGGGCAGGAATGACATTGGTTGCCCTGCAAGGCATTCTCTTGAGGGAGGCAGACAGGAGGAGTGAAACTCTGCTGGTCCTCCTGGATCTTTCTGCAGCTCTTGATACTATCGACCATGGTATCTTTCTATGACAGCTAATTGAGTTTGGGACTTAGGGGATCCATTCTTTGGTCATTAAAGTCCTTCCTTGGGGGCCAGTCCTGGATGGAGGCATTGTCCACTCCTTTGACCTCTATTATGGAGTCCCACAGATACTGGCTGTTTTCCCAATGCTTTTTAATATGTATATGAAGCATCTGGGAGAAGTCATAACAGAGATTTGGAGACTTGTAACACTCAAGGGGGCCAATGCTAGAAACCAAGGTTTCTCATTTGTGGCCCTTTCCTCCTGGAATATGCTTCCTACAGAGGTGTGCAAGGCACAGTTCCTCTCTGTTTTTGGAAAGCTAATTAAGACAATATTATAGAAAGCTGCCATCTGTTAGTCTGAATATTAACCTGAGATACTCAAATGGGTTTTGATTTGTACATTTCTATTTAAAGGTAGGTTCATTGTTTTACTTAGGAACAAGGTTTATTGTATTTTATTGCATTTATTAAATGGTGTTTTTATTCTATGATTTTATTGTACTCTGTGAACTGCTCAGAGAGTGGTAACAGTAATGGTTGCCCCATTAGAAGTGGAAATAGATAGATAGATAGATAGATAGAGAGAGAGAGAGAGAGAGAGAGAGAGAGAGAGAGAGAGAGAGAGAGAGAGAGAGAGAGAGAGAGAGAGAGAGAGAGAGAGAGAGAGAGAGAGAGAGAGAGAGAGAGAGAGAGAGAGAGAGAGAGAGAGAGAGAGAGAGAGAGAGAGAGAGAGAGAGAGAGAGAGAGAGAGAGAGAGAGAGAGAGAGAGAGAGACAGACAGACAGACTGACTGACTGACTGACTATAATCTGGTGTGGAATGTGTGGCATTCCTGCTCTTGGCAAATCCCCAGCCTGTTAGTTCAGGACCTTCTGAGGTTAAGCATATAATCACACAGGGGTCTTCTCATACTTTCACTTAAGAACTTTATTCTTAAACTAAAGGGAAAGAAATGCACACATTTGTACACACAATGGAAATGCCAATCTGTGTGGATGTTGTGTACAGTACTCCACATGGACCACACTTCCAGTCTTCCCATTTAGCACTGTGGAGTACAGGGGAACAGCATGGGGCCTATATAAACAACTGCTATATAATTTGTATGGAATAAAATTTTAGGAACAAATGCATGTCCCAATCACACTCCTACGTGAGCATGTTGTGAGTTGCTGCTTGCACTGTAGCTTCCATTTCTAGCGTTGACTAATTATTGTTCTTAAGAACTGTTTTCCTCTGTCTTTACCAGAGGTTTCCAGTTTCCTTCCCTTTGCAATACTGTCTGCTTGCCAATGCCTTTTCCTTCTTCTCCCTCACAGGCACGTGACCAGAAAGTGGCCGGTGACCTTGAAGCTGCCCGTCACTATGGCTCCAAAGCCAAATGCTACAACATCCTTGCCACAATGTGGAATGTGGCACTGCCATTAGTCCTCATTGCTCTGGTGGTCACGGGGGTCCTCCATCTCTCTAAGCTCGCTCAGGACTCCATGGACTACTTGGCTTACAGACTCTTTCCTACTGAAGATGAAGATAAGAAGTGAGCAGATGCCTTCAGCATGCCTGGCAATGTCTTTGTGACCATTTAGAGACTCAGCTGGTGTAACCTAAAGACTGCACAACACAAAACATCTGTGAATTCTAATTCAGGTCATCCAGTTCATGGCACCAATGCATTGACGTATTTTGGGAGACATTTCACAGCTCATATTTCATTGGGAAAATTCAGCTGAAGTAGACAGCTTCTTCTTCATACACTCAAGGCTGAGCTTGTCTACACCATTGTTCCCCCCCTCGCCCACTGTACCTACCGTAAAGCTTCCTTCTCCATTGCTCCTTTTTATTTCTAGATTTCTGCCCTCTTTTTCTTTGCTGGTCTGACAGACAGCAACAGCAAAGAAAGCACACAGCCATTAGGGGGATTTAATATGCTCTCTGAACTGCTTATTACTGTATATGTATCAATATGAAAACATAGCCCTGCATATTGTTAAATTATTTCCCGTGAGGGTATTTTCACAGTCACTTTTCATATAAGGAGAACTATGCATGTATCCACTGAAGGTGTTAACAATCATAAATTTTTGTACAGTTGATCTGTTATTCATTGGTGAGACCTCAGCACAAGGGATATTTTACAGTATTGGGAAGTTAATTAATCCTTAACCACACTATTCAAACTTCTCTAGAGAAACATATTTAATCTTACTATCCCAGAGAAGGCCATCATCAATGTCCTTTGCATTATCTTAACAACTCAGGTGCTTAATACCTTAGAACAGGCTCTTACCACCCACTGCTCTCCAGATGTATCAAACTGTAACCTCCACAATCCTCAGCAAACACAGCTATACACATCTGGATGGCACTGGACTGGAGAAGGCTGCCTTAGAATCTTCCTTAGAGCCCTCATTGTTTCTTTCCTTGTAACTGATTCCGGAACATTTTGTTTGATTATTTCTATTCAAGTGATTAAATGATTGTATAATCCACTACTCTTTTGTACACATCTGCTTTAATAAAAATCAATGTGGATTTTTTTTCACTTGGGTCATGTGTTTCATAAGAGCAGTTACCAAGAATCAGAAGCGTAATGTGCCTGCAATATTAACTTTTCTTAGTAGCCCAGGCTATTGTAAGCCTTGCCCCATATCTACACTTTTCAAAGTATCCTAATAATAATATGACTTCATGCTGCCAAGTCAATTCTGATCTACAGCAACATTTTCCATACTTTTATAGGTGATGAGCACTCAGAAGTCATTTACCATGGCCCTTTTTCTGGGGGTGCCCTGGGACTGTGCAGCTTGCCCAGGGCCACGCAGGGCTCTACTCACAGGAGGCACAGTGGGGAATCGAACTCCCAACCTCTGGCTCTGCAACCAGATATAGTACCTAAACCACTGAGCTATCCATGGCCTTAGTCCCAATGTAAACAACACACATAGGTAGGAGAGTTTATAGAGCGGGGCACAGCAATCCACATGGCCAAAGTGAGAACAGAGCACAGGGAAAGCAATGAACTTGGTAGTGGCTCTCAGCGGTACCCTCACAGTGCAATTCTCTGCACGCTTACTCTGAAATAAAGTTATATTTTGGCCCATGGGGTTCACTCTGCGTACGGTATATGTGGGACTGTAGTCTGAGGACGCGATCAGACAGGCATTTGTCCTGCTGTTTGGTGCACTGTGGGAATGGGTTGGTTTGCTCTTTTTTTGGGTGATCAGATGGCATAATTGCTAGAGTGAACCGATCCATTCCCAGAGTGCTCCTACCCACACATTTCTGAGCCCCTGTCAAGGGGTTTTACTTTTCAGGTAGGTTCCTTCCACTGTCAATTGTGTGAAGTGCTATTGACAAACTGCTGCTGTTCAAGTCCATGGAAAGGCAGATTTAATATACAAGCACTGTCCACGCTAGTGATTATAGGTTTCTAGTGGAATTAACCCTTTCTCCCCCCTCCTCTCCTGTCATCTCTGCTCTGAACACTTCTCATTTTTGTAATTTATTATATAATTCAGGGCCATCCCACTTCCAAAGAGAAAGGAACAAATGAAAT